TTCAACCATTAAAGGTTGGATAAGAAAAGCTAAATTTTTATCTAGGGAAAATGATGATTAAAGGGCCAAAGAGCGTTAATGGGATTCAGACACATTATCGTTTCTATAAAGGATTCTAAATCAGGTAATGTCTAAAGTACCTAGACAGGCAGGGTTTTGACCTTCATGATAAAACATTTTTCAGGTTATTGTCTAGCATCAGTGGAGTCAACAGACTTGATCCACATTTTAGAAACGTGACAAAGTACCTGTTATAAAAACAACTTTTTTGTAGTTAGTAATTATTTTTAGTGCATGATGAAGGAACAAAAATGAAATTTACTTCGTAACAATTACTTTGTTATTTTATGTCTTTAGAATGATAATGGCATAGTGAAGTTAAATACACAATTACTATTTAAAATACATACACACATTTACAAATTACATATATTTAAAACAATCAGAGTCAGGTACTTTTCTTAATCTCTCATTGAAGTATGCTCTTTATTGAGCTGGGACCCTTCATCAAGTATATATTCAATTGCGGATTTGTCCTTGTTACTTTACATTCTCTTTACCCTAATCTATTTTCTTAAACTGTTTAAGTTTTAATTAAGTATGCATATGCAGAAGCACATTATACCTAAAATTTAAGTAACTAAATACCTCTGTGAAAGCTTAAGAATGGCCATTATTTGAAAACTCCATGCCTACCTCTATGATCCTATGTCCTCTTCTTTCCAGAAGGAACTACTAGTTTAAAATTTTGCTTTTTCCTTTCTCGAATATTTCTTAATTTTACCACGTCTGGGTAGATCTCTCAATGCTTATTTTGTCACAACTACTACTGAATTTTCTTTAAAAGAAATCATATTGTAGGTTTCATCTGTAACTTGGTTTTTCACACTTAAAATTCCTTCCAATATTTGTCAATGATGGTGGGTGTAGCTGTGTTGTTTATTTGCACTAGAGAGCATATATTATATACTTACTTAGACTAAATAAATATTTATATTTCAAATATGTATATATTTATATTTCAATATAAATGCTGTATTATATTTATATTACATAAGGATATCACAAAACCTACCCTAGTTTCCATGTTTCCTCCTGATAATTCTGTCCTCTCACATTCATAATTATAGAATTTCAGAAAGTCCTATAACAATTTTAAGTATTAAAGAATGCATGTCACATTATCCAACATACTTTACACATGATAAATTTGTCTCTAACTTTCCTACCAATAAATGTAACACTGGGAACAGTTATGATAGTCAAAATATCCTGAATATACATAAATAAGAACAAACCTGAATATAAATAAATAACTCGGTACTCAGGAAAAAAGTAGTTATCCGTAATACAAAGATCAGAAAATAATTTTTCCAGCAGACAATCAGAGGTTATTTATCTAATAACTAAAAATGTCAGTAAGTTCTTAAAGCAAAAAAAGTAGTAAGTCCCACAGGGCTGGGTTTTGATGAAATATATATGCATACAAGTATATCTACATGTTTATGAGTTGATACAATTTTAAGTGAATGATAGCATGCTAAAATGTAATTTAATAAGCATAATAAATATCCTATGATCCAATTTCTCCATATTCTGATAATTATAGATTAATCCAGAATTGAATTTTAGAATAATTTTTAAATGTCATTCTTAAAATGTTTTTGGGTAACACAGCACTTGGAAAATCTGATGAGAATATAAACAGTTCTCCCACATTGTAACTAGGATTTCTGAGAATACCCAGAAATTTATAGTCATTTTATAAAGCCTACCCACCAATGCCAAACTAAAAACGCTGATAACAGCATAATACTGTCACTGAAAGTCCTTCATACAGTGCTTGAAAACCACTTCTTTTAGCCAGCATTCTGTAAGGTGCTGCACTTAAAAGTGCGTTCAAGACCACTTCTCTTGCCAAGTGCCCAGAGTGAAGATATTTTCAGCTCTCACTTGAATGCAGAGCCATGATCTGCTCACCTTTCTTGAAAACTGAGCTTAATAAAGATGTGAGTCTCATGGCATATCACTCGAGGTGGAACTTGATGGAGTACTTATCAACAAAACTGGGATTTTCCCTGGAGAGCAATTTGGGTGCATTCTCAATGCAACCAGAAATTCCATGATATAAGGTAGGTTGAAAAAAAATTAGCCCAGAAAAATGTTTAAGTATGCCTTGGTCATTGAATAAATCCAACTCATTTACATTTTGTTAAGCAATGTAAATTTTTTTTTTTTTTTTTTTGCGCTACTGGGGCTTGAATTCAGGGGCCTACACCTTGAGCCACTCCACAAACCCTTTTTTTGTGAAGGACTTTTTGAGATAGGGTCTCATGAACTATTTGCCAGGGTTGGCTCTGAACTGAGATCTCCTGATCTCTGCCTCCTGAGTAGCTAGGACTACAAGCAAGAGCCACCAGCACCTGGCTAAGCAATGTAAATTTTGATCTAAGTGGTATGTTGATTTACTGTTCTCAGTTCTTCACTCATCTGTATCCATATCCTCGCCAGGCTCATCATAGGCAAAGTGTACACTGCTGTCCCACGACGTTGCACTTGGTTATGTGAGTTTTTACAGACATTTTTCTTGGGGAGGGGAGGAGGTGGGAGGTGGCCCAAACAATGTATACACATGTAAGTAAATGTAAAAACGATAAAAGAAAAAAAATTTTATTAGCATGTATTAATTGCACAGGGTGGTTTCACTGTGACATTTCCATATATGCTTATGATGGACTGTGGTTAGGTTGACCTCCACCATTATTCTCCTTCATCTCCCCCACACCTACTTAAAACGATCTCAACAGGTTTCACTGTTCTAATTTCATATAAGTATATAAAGTACACCAACCATATTCCCCCTCCCCTCACTACTACCTAGGACCTGTTTTACATTCTTGTCCTTTATTTTTTAAAAATGTGTATTCATTGTTCAAAGGGGTTTTGCCATGGTGAATATATTGAATTCTAATCAGATTAACCCCTTCTATTACTTTCACTTACCCTTTCCTCCCCACCCCATTATTCAGCAGCTTTCAGTGCATTTCACTGTGTCCTCTTCCTAACATGCAATGCATTTTGATATTGTTCCCTCTATCATTCTCATTCCTGCTCCTCCCTCCTCTTGTGACTTGTTTTAACAAGAGTAGGTAAGCAGATGTGATATGAACAAAGGCTTAAAGTGTACAATGGGACTTATCCTCTTTCAAATCTGACTTTTGTTAAGAGAATATGCCTCAGACAGCTACTGGTCACAGATGAGTACTATAAGAACCAAATCTACACCTAAGAAACCGCTTAGAACAAAGCTGAAACTGTCTCAGTCTTAATTGGTTGATAAAGTGATTATGTGAGCAAGAAATATTTAAGAGTCTTGGGAAACTTTTTTTTTTTGGTGAGACTGGAGTTTGAACCTAGGGCTTTGCACTTGCAGTGCAGGTTTTCTACCACTTGGGCCACATACCTCCAGGTCATTTTGCTCTGGTTATTTTTGGAGATGGGGAATCATGAACTATTAGACTGGATTGGCCTGGAACTGTGATCCTCTGGATCTCAGCCTCCCAAGTAGCCAGGATTACAGGTGTGAGTTACCTGTGTCCTGCTACTGGAATGACTTCTTAAGTAGTAGTACTATGGCAATTACTAACATACAGTGAGTACAAAGTGACAAGATACAAACATCAGTAACTAAATTGCTATCTGAACTATTGGGTATAAATCACGGTGGAGAGGGTTAACATATTACATGAAGAATTTTTTCCCCCTTGAGATGGCAACAGTGTAATTCTCACCTACTTTGACTATGTCACTGACAGCTATGTTTCAGACTCCCTTTCCATGTGTAAGATTTGGTAGACCAAAGGCAGGAAAGCAAGTGTGCTAAATCTGAGACGGGATTTAAAACTCTGGAGTTGTTTAGAATTGCTGATGAACTGTAATAAAGAAGGACACTGAGTTTTAATTTGTTTATTACTAATTTTAAATTCTCTACATATGATGTACATCCCCTATTGTCTGGACCTAAGATGTCCCATTTCTACTATACCACCCCCTTAGTGAGCCACAAAACACCTCATTATTGTTTAGAACACAGAATTCTCAAAATAAGTTATATGAAACACACAAGTTAAATATATTAACCAGAAATTCACCCATTTATTTTATTAATGTTAAAAGCTTTATAAAAGCTAATTACAATGAAAAAATAAGATCTCTGAATTACAACCAAATTGGCACCATAACAGATAATTATCTCAAATGTAAAGTCATTCAAATAAACTAGTACTTATTCACTGTTTAAATATATTAAGATCACATGAACCATTTCATCTCAAATTCCACTTTCAATGTATCCTACTTTTTAAATTCATTTTTCTGATTTTAGACAATAGAAAGCCATCCCAGTTGGTAAGGAGCAATGACAAGAATGCTAGTAAGAGTACTCCTGGCTTTCTTTTAGTCAGTTAATACAGGTAATAAAGATCATGAGGACAATGTAAGTCTCATTTATTATCAGTATATGTCTAACTTATTAGGGTGAAAATGTTTTTATTGCTCAAAAGCCACATATTTCAAAACTACAAATATAAAGTCTAAAAAAAAGCAGCTTCATCTTTGATTTCTCAATTTTTCAAATTAGAATAATAAATAAGAATGCTACTCAACAGTATAATCTTGAATAATTCATGAATAATCTTCTGAAGTTCTGAAACCATAATCCTTTCAATTTCAGAATACTTAGAACGACATTATAAACTGAAATTCTTTAGAGGAATATATACTTCATCTAGTCGATAAAATACAGTACGCAGTGTTATATATAACATATATTCTATTGTGTGTATTACTGCTTCCTTTGTTGTTCACAATTAGCAAACTCCAAGCCACAAATATAAATATATAAAATAACCAAGCAATATGACTAACCCAAAAGAGTATTTCAAGAATACTTTTCAAATCTTACTTTTGAAAGCGAAGTTCAATATTAAAAGCTTACATACCTGATGATCCAACAACAACATCCCAAGGGGAGCTAATGGGCTGCTGTTCCCCTTTTGCTCCACCTTCTTTATCTGTACCTTGAACTCCAATGCCAGCTACCGTGCTCACCTTCTCAGCTTCTAGATCAATCTAAAAAAATTTAATTGAAGTTTTATGCAGTGCATGTTACTTTTACTTTCGGTGTGTGAAGAATTCCAGTAAAACATATAAAGAGTATTTGCAACACAATGATTTTTTTAAAAAAAGGTTAATTATAGGGGACATGTTATTTAAGTGCATTCAATCAGTCCCTTTCATTCCCCTTACCTGTCCACTCCTCTCCAATTCCTTCCCCCACCACACCCACGAGTCTCCACCAGAACTGTGTTGACCTCATCCTAACTATATTTTAAAAGAAAATGAAAATTTAAAACCTTGCAAAATGCATGTTTCTTAAAATTGAATATATGTATTTCAAATATGCTCAGTCAGCAACTGATACACATATAACTTATTATGTACTCAGTCATCCTCATGCTAACCCAACGACAGTGACATTGGTTATTTTAAAGGAAACTGAGACACAAATTGTTAAGTAATTTTCCCAACATCTCACAGATGGGAAGGCAAGGATCTGGAATTTCAACTCAAACTTTCTACGACACTATGCTGACTCATTTCATAACCTGAAAAACTGATGTAGTCTACCGAAGAAAGTTGCTCGTTTTCATTTTCTGACACCCTCTTCCCAACATTTTACTATGGAAAAATTTCAAACTCCTGGGCTCAGCTCACCTCAGCCTCCTTACTGCCAGGGCCATAGAAACCACAGTTCCTAGACCAGCACTGTGATTTTAATTTTCTCTCTTCTCTCTCTCTATCATCTATTATCAATCAATCATACTGGGGTTTGAACTCAGGGCTTTTGTGCTTGCTAGGCAGGTACTCTACTACTTGAGCTATGTCCCCAGCCCTACATTTCCTTCTTATGATGTTGAACACATTTATACATGCTTGTGGTCATTCTTGTATCTTCTTTTGAGAAATGTGTGTTCAAATCTTTGGCCCATCTTTTTTTCATTTTTCAGTTATAGGAGTCTCTACATATCAGATATTAGTCCCTTCATATATCATTTTGTGGATTTTTGTTAATATTTCTAAAGCTTATGATATCTTTTCATTTTCTTAATGGTAAATTTTCATGCACATTAAAAAAACTTGGGGGGGGGTAGTACTGGGGTTTAAACTCAGGGCCTCACACTTGCTAGGCAGGTGCTCTGCCACTTAAGTCAAGTTCCCAGTCCTGCATCTAAAATTCTGATAGTCAAGGAGCATGGTTGTATATGCCTGTAATTCCAGTACTTGAGAGACTGAGGCAGGAGGATCTCAAGTTTGAGGATGGCTTGGGTTACACAGCGAGACCGTGTCGAAAAAATATGTAATCTAATTTATCAGTTTTTCTTTTATGGTTATTGTTGCAGTGTCCTATTTTGAGAAAGCTCTGCCTATCTGCAAATCACAAAAATATTCTCAGCTATCCTGAGAGGGTATAAAGTGACTTCTCATTGTGGTTTTGATATCTAATTCCCTGATTACTAAGAATGTCAAGCATCTCCTGTGCTTGTGGGCCATCTGTTTATCTATCTACCTTTGAGAAGTATTTTCTAAAAGCTTTATGTTTAAACTTTCACATTTCAGTCTGTGACGAATCTTACCTAGTTGTTCAAGCACCGTTTGCTGAAATGATTTTTCTTCTACATTTGAGGACTTTGATGATTTTTGAAAAACTCCAGTAACTGTATAGGTATGGGGTTGTCAAAGGTTCTTCATTCTTTTTTACTGATCTATGCCCTATCCTTATGAAAATACTATAGTCATGATAATGTAGCAATATAGGAAGTCTTCAAACAGGTAGTGTTAAGTCTTTCAACATTGTCCTTTCCCAAGATTGTCTTATATATTATAAATTCATTGTTTTACATTTCCATGTAAATTTTAGTATCCATGAAGGATTGGTCCCAGGACCTTCCTATGGATATTCAAATCCAAGGATGTACAAGTTTCTTATATAAAATGGTGTTAGCATTTGCATGCAACTTAGATACATTCTCCCATTATACTTATAATAACCTAATACAATATAAATGCTATATAAATAGTTGTTAAGCTATTTTGCTCAGAGAATAACAAGAAAATAATGTTTGTGTATGCATGATCAGTACAGATGCAATTTTTTCTCTAAATATTTTCAATTCACAGTTGAATCCACAAACATGGGACCCCGTAGATAGAAAAGGCCGAGTATACACAGGGTTTATATGTATTTTGCTAAATTTGTTCTAAATATTTTATTTTTTATTGTTGTTATAGACCAAATTTATAAATTTCAATTTCCAGTTGATTGTTACTAATATGTAATAATATATTTGATCTTTTTAATGGGCTCTATATTTTGCAACCTTCCTAAATTCACTTCTTAAAGTAGTGTTTCATTGATTTCTTATAACTTTCTATGTACATGACATGTCATTAGCAAATAAAGAGAATTATTCATTCCTCTCCTTTTCAACCTACACATCTTTTATTTCTCTTTCTTGCTTTATTAAAATGGTTAGGACTTCCAGTACAATCTTTTGCATTAAGTGAAGCCAGAGGCTTTTTGTAGATGCCCTTTACCATATTGAGGACATTCATTTCCATTTCAAGTTTGCTGAAATGGAAATTTTTTTATCATGAATATGCATGACATGGTTTCAAACATTTTTCTGAACCTAGTAAAAACAAACCTATTGTAGTTATCCTTTATTCTATTGCTATAGTAAATTACATTTATTTAAGTATGCCTATTTGCATTATTTCATTAGTGCCTACTCTGTAATTTACTAAGATTATAAAGAAAATTCATCAATTTAACCTTATTTGTATTTTTACTGAACCCAATCTGTGACAATACAATAGGCAGCTTGGGATGGGCCTTTGTAATAGTTCTTGATCACAGAAATTGATATAAAAATCAAAGAACTAATTTTACAAAAAAACACCAGGCCCAAGTGATGCTACGAGGGAGTTCTAACAAATGTTCAAAAACCACTAATTCTTATTTTAGGCAAATTATTACAAAATACAGAAAAAGAATGAAATTGATGATTTGATGAGGTTAGGGTAACCTGATTCTAAAACTAGGTGAGAAGAATATGAGAAATTACGGAGCCTTTTGTGAACATGCATTTAAAAATATTATATATAATTTTGGATAATCAAATCCAACTTGATTTTCTAAAAAATTAACTAGGTAAGATTTACCCCAGGAATAAAAAGATGACTCAACATCAAAAGAATCTATTAATATAATCCATCACATGGACAGACCAATTATTTCAATAAATGTATAAGGTTCATTTAGTAAAATAATTTTAGCAACTAGAAACAGAAATTTCCCTGATTTAGTATTCCCCAATGTTACAGCAAATATTAAATTTTAGAGAAAATTTACATACATTTCCTTTAAGATTGTGAACATGACAAGGTAACCCCTATCACGACTAATGCATAAAAGTGCTAGAAGTCTTAGACAGCAATTATAAAAGGGAAGAAGTTTAAAAATCAGAAGATTTATTTTGGAGACAATTATTTATGTAAGAAACAAGGTTTCTTTATTTATATAAAAAAACAAGTTTTTTTGCATACATGGACAAGTTGATCCTAAAATTCATACGGAACTGCAAGGGTCACATAGTGCCAAAACAATCTGGAAAAAGAGATGGGTAAGGCTTCCTTAAATACTTCCTGATTTAAAAACTTACCAAAAGCTACAGCAGTCAAAATAATGTGGTACTGGCCTAAGGGCAGACATACAGGCCAATGGAATAGATTTGAAAGTCCAGAAATAAACCCATGTATCTATGATCAATTGATTTTTAACAGGCTGCCAAGACTAATCAGTGGAGGCAAAACAGTCTTTCAAAAAACCGTTCTGGGATAACTAAATATCCACAAACGAATGTAGTGGACCCTTATTTCTCACGGTATCTAAAAATCAATTCCCAACCAATGAAAGACTTACTTACAAGGGCCCAAACTTAATAAATTTTTTGTGACCTTCGACTTGGCAATGGATTCTTAAACATGACACCAAAAATATAAGCAACAAAAGAAAACAGATAAATTACTCATCATCAAAATTTAAAACTTTTGTGCTTCCAGGCACATGATTAAGTGAGAAGGCTATCCAAAGAATGAAAGCATATTTGTAAACCACATAACCTGTTAAAGAACTTGTACCAAGAATATATAAAGAGTTCCTACAACTCAATTATAAAAAAGACAAATAACCCAATTAAAAAATAGGAAAAGAACCTGAATAGATACTTCTCAAAGGAGGAGAGACAAGTGGCCCAAAAGCACAGGAAAGATGCTTGACACTGTGAGTCATCACAGAAACGCACGTCTAAACCACAGTGAGATGCTACTGTATACCCAACAGGATGGTTACAATTAAACACAAAGGAAATAGCGAGTGATGGTGAGGATAAGAAAAACTGGAACCCACATATAATATAGAACTTCAGGAAATCTCTATTTGTTGTGATTACCCTATTAAAATGCATGAAAATTTGAAATGTAGCACTATAGTCAATCCAAAAATTCACTAAGTTCTAAAGCAGGAGCAAGGAGGACACAAGTTAAAAAGTAGAAGCATCTTGGAATGTCAGGGGCTAGTATCTTACTATTTCAATATGCTGCAAGATGTCTATGACATCCTGATGAATTAGAGAAACAACTCTCCAAAGAAAATGACTAAGAAATATTGATTTTAAAAGACTTAATAATAATAAACATTTTTTTTTTTTTGGCAGTACTAGAAGTTGAATTCAGGTCCTCAACCTTGCTAGGCAGGTGCTCTACTACTTGGGCCACTCTGCCAGCCCATGGGTTTAATTAAACAACAAATAAGAAAAATCAAAACACATTTTTCTGCACAGTATAAACCATGGAAACATTAGTCCTATGAGCAGCTCTGCTTAAAAAGGGCTTCATGGTCAAACAAGTCCGTGACTAACATTCCCAACAACGTATTAGCATATTTAAGATTCCAAGAAGACAGTCTCTATGACTTTCAAAAAAACACATCTACTTCATTAATCCACAAAGGCCTTTTTTCACATAACATCTTTATTAATAGGAACATTTTTGAAAATGCTTCATTAGACAGATGTTATTTGTTCATAAATTCATTTAATAAATATCTGTGGTACATCTTTCATAGGTCAGGCCCTATTCTAAGTGCTAGGATTTCGTCAGTAAAGAAAACATATTTCTTGTTCCCATTGAGGTTTACAAAGCAGTGCATCTTATCATATATTTTATATATGTATTTGCTTCTACAGGTGTATTAGGTGATAATAGTCACAAAGGTAAGGATAAATGTCAAAATTGGAAGATAAGAAAACAACAAAGCATCTGAAACAATGTGTTTACCCAAGGATGGATTAGAGGAACTTGGTTATTTTCCAAATAGATGGCAATTTAAAGACGAATGGATTATGTCCCAAATTGCTATTGGTAGGGAACGTTTTAAGTAACCATAAGTGGTTCTACCTACAATGAAATATGACCATCATTCATGTCATTCATGTGACTAATACAAAAAAAAAAGAAAACCTGCCAAACACCATTGTACATGTGTGTTTTAAAAAGTTCTCTAGTATAGATAATCTTTTAAATATAAATTTGTACATGAGTAGAAAACTTCTGAAAAAATACAGAGACCATGGTTGGTTATCTCTGCAAAGATGGAATTGATGACCAGGGAACATTTTTATCTTTATGTATTAATTAGCTTTTTGAAAACATATAACTCCTAATGAGATGAAATTGACGAATTTTAAGATGAATTGACTATTAAGTATTTCCAGCCAAAGCATAAGAGCTGAAGGGAGGCAGGAGTGGTATGCTTTTTTTTCTAGGTTTGAGAAAATTTAACTGGAAAGGACAAAGAATCACTGTGTAAATTAGGGATTAGGAAAATACCTCAAATGAGGGAAGAGCTTTTGGATAATTAGGAACATGACTTTAAAACAAAGGACAAAAAAGAATGGGTTTTTCTTCTGTGGCAACTATACACTGACACACAGAAAAACAAGGTATTAAGAATAAAACTAAAACAAGTACCCCTACAAGAGGCTGAATAAGGATGCTCTGATGTGTTTAAGTGTTACCTTTAACTTCAAGTATTTAACACATCAAGTATATATCAGATTTTTTTGACTGGAGTATTAAAAGTTTAATTTCCAATGGAAAATTACCTTTCTTATGAGGTGGTTTTCAGTGTCTGCAACATATATGGTATTATTCACCATGGCTACACCCTGTGGAGAGTTAAAAGATGATTCTGAAAATATTCCATCTTTTTTTCCAGGCTTAGGTCCTAAAAGACAAGAAAGTCATGAGATAAAATATTCTCATTAGAAAAGGGACTTTAAGGTAAACCCTCCCCCAAAATAAAAATAAAATTTGTATTTAATGCTGGAATTTTAAAGTTAAGTAAAATTGATACTTCTACCTCAAAACTAAAACATTTCCCAAAGTATCAATTTTTGTCCGAGAGTGCATTTTGGTAATGCACTGGTTATAGTACAACAGTTACTAGTGCACTTCAATAGCACATATCAGAAAGTTTTGTTGTTGTTGTTTGCGGTACTGGGTTTGAACTCAGGGCCTACATCTTGAGCCTCTCCACCAGACCTTTTATATGATGGGTGTTTTTCAAGACAGGGTCTCTCAAACTATTTGCACGGGCTGGCTTTGAACCACAATCCTTCTGATCTCTATCTCCTGATTAGCTAGGATTACAGGTGTGAGCCACCAGCACCCAGCAGAAGAAAGTATTTTTAAAAGCACTTTAATTACCTGTTACTTAAGACTAGAAATTTTAAAACAATTTTAATCTTTCAACATCTAGATGAATAATTTAACAATTTTGGAAGATAAGCTTCTTCGATAAAGAAATGAAAATTATGTACTTTTTTTCCTTAGGTAAATAAACATGCTTAAAAATGTTGCAAATAACCCTAGATCCTGACAGCCACCCAAGCATTTCTTGAGTCAAGAACCCCAGGTAGGCTAGAGGTGTAGTCCAGTGGTGGAACACTTGCCTAGCATGCCCGGGGCGTGCGTTCAATCCTCAGTTCACTTCCCACAAAAACAAAAAGAAACAAAATAGGGTAATACTCCTTCCTATCTACCATTTCTCTCTGCCATAAAGCCCTACAATAGCTTATATATACTTTAAGAGAGAGAGTGATTTTGGTCTACTGGCTATGTCCCAACTTTCAACATGCAGAGTTTCAAGGGTAGAGATTATGGCACAATAAAAGACAACTGTTATTTCTGTGACCCAGGGAAAGCTATCCAAAGCCTCCAGTCAGCAGTCACAAACTGGTATTTCTGCAAAATCCCACTGTCCTAGTATCAGTGAGAGAGGTAGCACATTATAGTCTCTAGGAAATGACCCAAGAGCCCAACAGGACTCAATTTACATCCCAGCTCCTCTGCTTCCTAGGTGATGGAATGAGCAAGTTCTTCATGTCTTTGTTTTCCTTCTACAAAATAGATTAATAGTATTTAACTCAGAGAATTATGAATGCTTAAAATAATACCAGGCACATACTGCTTGCTATTTTTATTAACACTGTTTTACTATTGTTGATTTTAAGAGTTCCCTGAAAAAAAAGGGGTATAGGGTGCGGGGGGAGTTCTGTGGCCACTTTAGATTGGAAATATTGTGTACTGATACTCCCTTCTGTATATGCCTGAGGCACATTAGCAGAGTAAAAGATCTAAGGAGTCCAATGACACCACCCACCACCAAAAAAAATTGTTAAATCACATTATATCAGTATTTCCTGAGTGTATGTGATCAGAGAATTCCTTTTTAAAAACTAAGAAGCAACTACTAATATACTAAGAGATAACAGTATTCTTAGAAACACGTTTGAAAAGTATAGCTTGCTGGTGGTTTTTGTTAACAGAAGAATATTCACCTATACTATTTTGAAAACTTTAAAATCATTTAAATTTAAGCTATCACAAAAAACATTTTTGGGTAACAATCTCAAAGCTGCCTGTCATAGCTGAAAATACCCAGTAGCTAAAATAAAACAAGTATCACAAAACACAACTTATACTCTAATAAAAACAACAATCAAGGAACACAAATAATTCAAGAGGTAAGGCTTACTAGGAAGAACATGATAGTTTAGGAGTGTTTCACTTTTTTTGTACTGAAATTCAGATATTCCTACTTTATGTAGCATACATGTGTTACTAAAGCAGGATCTATGCTAAAGCAAATAAATGAATTACTTTTTGACTGATATGTTGTAACTTGTTACAGTTACTTGTTATGTATCAGTTGGTTTGGATAAGCAAGATTAATAGGAATGTACCTAAGAGACTTTATTATTTATGTAGCTGTAAATGAGAGGAATTTTTTTTTTTAATCTAGGGCCAGGGAGATATGGATTAAAACAATCTATGCTTGCATGATACTACTTTGCTATACTCAAAGGGAATGGATCCAGAAATAGGCTTACATTCTTAGGAAAGAAAGGAGAGAAAAGTAAAATTACGTGCAAATTGGAGTTTATTTATTTTATAATCTAAGTATCAAGTTTCTAGGGCAACTGTCCTGATCTTGAAAAATACATGACTATATTTTGTAGAAAAATAAAATATAATCCTTCAACTTAAAATATCAGACATTCAGGGGTTGGGAACATGGCTGAAGTGGTAGAGAACACACCTAACAAGAGCAAGGACCTAAGGTCAAACCCCAGTACTGCCAAAAAGCAAATACAACCAGAAATACAAAACATATGTATTTTATTAAGACAGTAAGTATGGTTAATTTTTTAGAAAACAAGAGATATCAATGATTAAGCTACATAACTTAGTCACTCCCTTCTTTGGACATGGAGCTTTTAGGCAATTTTATTTGTTTTCTAAAAAGTAAAGAGAGGCTAGTTCAGATACTACGTATTTAATAACAAAATAATTTTGTAATGAAGTTACAAGTTAATTCATGTCACCTTTCTATATTTACTTGAACTACTTTTATAATTGCAAAACACATTTTTAGCATAATTAGAAGCAAACTTTACCTCCAATACTGTGTTGAATGTGTCCGCTCTTCGAAATGACCAAAATTCTATGGTGTCCGGTATCTGCTACTACCAGTCTATTAGCAGCATGGTCTACTGTTACTTTGCCAGGAAACAGCAATGGTGAAGATGGCAAAGTATCCTTATAGAGTTTGATACCGATCTTATTATCTCTGATCTGTCCCCTGTCTTTATAATACTTTAAAGCTGTTGAAGTATATAAAAATAATTTATCTTTGTGCCCCTCTCCCATCAGAGAAAACAGCATGTTTCCACGGGGTCCAAGAATGACCAGAGTTGGCCAGCAGGAAACTTCTAGTTCTTGCCAAAGAATGGCATCTGCATCGTTAACCACAGGGTGGGTGATATTGTATCGGAGAACAGCACTCTTAATGTTGTCCAGGACTTTTTCATTTGGAAACTTAGCTGAGTGAACACCAACAATCAGAAGACCATCTGAAAGGGGAAAAGTATATGTTAAACATTATGAAATATTAAGTGACATTAGTCACACAAAAAAACTTGAGTCATTAATAAATGTAAACAGTCATAGATTTAAAAAAAATAGAACTACATTATTATTTTCAACCATTTAAACACACGTTAAAAATAAATGTAAATCTCATAATAATCTTATTTTCTAGATAAAAACACATGATCAAATTCATGTACTACTGCAGGATTAGAACTCTTTATGACCACCAGCTAGACAAAGCTATTAAAAAGTATCATCTAGGGTCTGGGGATGTAGCTCAGAGGTAGAGCACTTGCCCAGCACATGCAAGGCCCTTGGTTCAATTCCACGCACTACTCTCCCACACAAAAGTCTACTATCTAATGAAGATGTTGAGATGTTGAAACATTCTTCAACCTAATATAGGCCCCTTTGAAATTCAGAGTGATTATGACTACTTTTTTAAGTATCTATTGTCATATTATTCTCTTAAATTTATATATACATAACTTTACATTACATAGTAACAGAATGAATATAAGCGAAATATTACCAGAAGTTTTCAATTTATTTAAAATAATTTATAAAATTCTTAGAACAAACCTTCTTGTAGACAGCAGAACTACTGAGAACTAAAAATAACGTATTTCTTTTACCTAATCAATGTATTATTTAGGGAAGTTAGTACAGGAGGGAGGAAAAACAAGAAGTGTTAGGCTGGATACAGAGAAAAACTCAATACAAGTCTCCAAACACATCCACCAAAAACTACTCAAATCAGCATGAAGAACAAATAAAATTACACAAATCAGAGGTATAATTCCCCACAGTTCTATTATATCTTCAAACCAAAACAAAAGCATATAATATACCAGTGTTTGAGGACTAAGAAAAAGTAAACAAAAGCAGGTAGAGCTGGGTTCTAGTGGTTCATGCCTATAAACCCTAGCTACCTGGGAGGCTGAGATGGGGAAGACTGTGGTTTGAGGCCAGCCTTGGCCAATAGTTCATGAGACCCCCATCTCCACAATAACCAGAGCAAGAACCAGAGGCATGACTTGAGCATGAAGCTCTGAGTTCAAACTGCAGTCCTACCTTCCCCCCACCAAAAAAAAAGCACCTAGTTTATAGAAGGTAGGGTTCCAGTTTTATGCCTCTCATTCCTAACCCAGAGAGAGACCCTAGTTCTGCAGCCATATGGGTAGCTAAGAATCCAACGAAAAAACACATTGCATTTCTGGCTCAAGGAACCAGAAACGTTGGAGAGTGGGGGGAACTGTGAGGGGAGGCAAACTGGAGAAGGTGACTCCCTGTTGCTGGGAACAAATACTCAACCTCTAAAACTACACATATGTGACACAGACTCAATAAAGTGTAGCAAATTCTTAAAGAACTGAAAACTGAATTGCTGAGTTGGCACGAGAGAGAGCTGACAGAAGACGAGTATAATTCATAACAAAGCACATGTGTACATCAGCAAAGTCTTTAAAACAGCTGTAACTACATTCCATGAGGTAAAGACAAAAACCACATGAATGGAAACATAAGGAATAGAAACTAGGGGAAAAAAAACCTAAATAAACCCTGAAAATATTTATTTGAAATAAATTCACTGAAAGAGCTCAGTGGCAAAAAGGTAATGAGGATAAAGTTAATGAACCTGAAGGTAGCTCAGCAGAAATAGCCCAATTGTAAGGACATAGGAAAGAATAAAAATGAACACAACCTCTGGGAGATATGTAACAGTTTTGAGGATCTAAAGTGTAAATGGAATCCCAGAAGGAAAGGAGAAAGAGAATGGAGCAGAACAAATATTTAAACAATGTCCAAACTTCCAAAATTTGGTTAAAGACATATATTTACAAAATTCAATGTTAACACATGCCAAATGGGACCCAAATTAAAAGAAAACCATGTATAGACATATCATTAAAAAATACTTAAAACAAGAGTAAACACACACACAAGATATAGAAAAGATATGGAGAGGAGTGGCAGCTGAGGACTTGTGGGAGATGTGGGGGAGAGAGTAGAGCGGGAGAGCAGGAAGGACTATATGCTGATTACTTTGGCCAAGCTACTTGCCCTCTATATCAGTTTTTTCATTTGTAAAATTAGGAAAATAATCAGTAACTGCCTCTTAGGTAGGGTGGATTAAAAGAAATAATCTGTGTAAGGCATTTAGCATAGTGCTTCACATATAGGAAAATGTCAACAAATTTTAGCATTATTATTTTTGAAGTTTTAAGTGTACAGGTAACCAAATAAAACAATACAAATTTCTATAAATATCAAAAGAAATTAGTAAAAAACAGCAAAGAAAACATATGTTGAGATACACAACCAATGTAACCTAATACACATAATAATTCGTTACTTATACTTGTATGAATAAATATGAATGAGCTTAACTCATTTTTTTTTTTTGGTGGCACTAGGGTTTGAACCCAAGGCCTCATGCTTGCTAAGCAGGCACTCCACCAGAGTCACACACTCAGCCCTAACTCATCTATGAAAAGGATTTGTACATCCTCTATATAATAAGACACATCTAAAACAAGTGAAATCAGAAAGGCAAATAAAGGGATAGCAATGGAACAGCAGGCAAATGAATACAAGGGAACACATGCATTCCAAGTCTCCTCCCTGGGCAAGGTTAGTGTTTTGATCCACAACAAAGGGCACCTGCTAATCACATCATTAAAAAGACTGGAAGCCTACATAGGTTCAGGTTTACATTCTGGTTTGTCATTGCACATTCCTGCTTCATATCCACCTTTTCTTTTCAACTGCCTGAACCTACCACCTTCAAGCTGAGGTACTAGGCACAGAAGAAACAGCTTCATGTAGTCTAGTCAGACAGCTCCACAACTGCCTATATAATGAGACTCTTACTATTTTTCAATACTCCCAGTGGCTCTGTTTTTCAGATCAAACTATGATGAATAGTTTGATCAAACCCCTACATCCTTGTTTTGGTCTTAGCATACAACTATATGTATGAAATCTTCATCCACTTATGGGCAGTTTTTCTACTCACCCTGAGTTAGAATGGGCACATGAGCACAGCATTCTTGGAGTTCCTTTTTATAGTCTTGATTGATGCTTGAAGTAAGAGGTTTACACTCATTAAGATTCTTGAAATGTGGGCTGGGGACATGGTTCAAGTGGTAGAGCACCTGCCTAGCAATCATAAGGCCCTGAGTTCAAACCCCAGTACAGAAAAAAATCCTGAAATGTTGTTCTACTGTTTTCTCCTTGCTTTATATGTTACAGTGACAAGTCTGATCAGTCTCATCCACTTGCCTTTGCAAGTTATCTTTCTCTCTGGAGGTCTTAAGGACTTTATTCCTCTTTAAAGTGTAACAGTTTTATTTGGATTCATTTTCCCTGGTACCAGTAGACCCTTTCAATATGCGGATTCAAGTTTCTTTAATTTCTGCTAAATTTTTTTGGATTCTAATTTCAGATATTAGTTTTGGTGGTTGTTTTGACATTGGGGATCTCCAAGTAGTCCTGTGTTGGACCTCCTTTGCCTGTTTTCACATGTAATTATTTCCTCCCTATACCTTTCAACTTCTTTGTATAGCTCACTTTCATTCTTTTTTTTTAAATTTTCATTCTTTAGGTTATTTTTCCCTTATATGAATGTATTGTTCCTTGGCATCTTGCAATTTAGTTTTAATTCTGAATTTTGTCTTCTATTTCCTGAGTTCAATGAACACCAATTTCTTTCCTTTTCTGTCCATTTCTTAGTTTTAACATTTCTGACTCAAGTTGCTTATTATTATTCCTGAATGCTGTGAGGACATATAATCCAGTAAGAAGCACTGTGTTACATTTTGTCAATTCTGTGACTATTCAAGTGAAAATCCTCATATGCAGTTTACAGCAGTTTTATGCAGAAGTGATCCTCTTTTATTCCTCCTCATTCTGTAGACAGGGTTCCTAGTTTGAGAGCGCCCTCTTCTGATAGTTCCTTTTCCTGTGCAGTTTCACTGATGGATTGTATCCTTGGAAGGAGAAGTTGTTGGTATGTCTTTCTCTTCTGTTTCTGCTGGGTCCTAAACATTCTCCTTCTTCTTTCCTTCTCTCCCTTCACGGGCCCATCTCCAAGGGAAACCACAGCTTGTCTACGGTTGATTTTCTCCCAAAACCAGTGCTTCTCTGAGGCTTTCATTCTTAGTCCTTATGTTTGAAGAGCTGATGATATGATCTAAATCTGTGCTGAGTACTTTGTACTATGATGTTTCTTTTTCTGGGAGTAATGGGGTTATTCTGTTTGTGCTTTGCTTAAGTTCTTGGAACTATTCTCCTTTTTCTCTTGGAGTCTGTTAAATCTCCTCTGTTCCTGTTCTCAGCACCCACAGGCTTGTGGCAGCAGGACCTTTAATTGGAATTTAGTTTATTTCTCAACTTACATGTGATGTAAATGCCATGCCATAATAGTCTCTGTCTCCTACTATTGTGAAATGCAAGGTCAAGTGTGGTTTTATTTTCCCTCCCCATTTGGACAGGGTGAGTGTAGAGATACAAAATTATGCAGTCACCATTTTCATTCAAACCTGGAAGTAGCACAGATACTTTTTTTTGTGTGTGTGATGCTAGGGCTTGAACTCAGGACCTACACCTTGAGCCACTCCACCAGCCCTTTTTTGAGGAGGTTTTTGTTTTGAGACAGGGTCCTGTGGAACTATGCCCAGGCTGGCTTCAAACCACAATCCTCCTGATCTCTGCCTCCTGAGTAGCTAGGATTACAGGCGTGAGCCACTGGCGCCAGCTCATCATTTTTTTTTTTTAAACATTGTTTTTACCATTTATATAGGAAAAATTTTTTCCTATATACATTGAAAATTGATTAAATAAATGTAACTAAAACCAGCCTTTTACTTAATGGAGAAACAGAAGTATTTCCAATAAGAGACAAACAAGGCAAAGATGCCTGCTATCTCCACTGGTATCTGACAGTGAGTTGGGGTGGTGGGGTGGGAGTTAGCAAACA